TACACACTCAGCCACACACACACACACACACACACACACGTGATCTCACATAGAACCCACTATACATAACCACACACCAACACACAACCGTCCACGGTCACACAAAAGCACAGATACACACCCCCATGCACAATCTCACACCCACAGCGGCCACAGGCTGATAGAACACAGCGGCCCTTACTTATAAACCCTCCTGGACCTTCGTGGTGAATTATTCCCCAGACTTCAAAGCCGCAAAAAGATGCAGTTTGTTCCCTGGGTACTGAGTCCCCAAAGCTCTGCGCAAGTCCTGGGAGGCCCACAGTTTCTTCTGTGGGGTCTGGGACCACTGTAACACAGCGGGGAAAGGGGACCGGATGGGATGCTGCACATCTGTGATCCCAGCACTCTGGGAGGCTGAGGCAGGAGGACCAGAAGTCTGAGTCCAGCCTGGGTAATTCAGGGACTTATGGACATCCTGTCTCAAAATAAAAATTAAAAGGACTAGGGATGGTGCTCAGTGTGAAGGCACTGGGTACAATCTCCAGCATCAAGAAAAAAAAAAAAATTTTTAATTTGAAAGAGGGAGTTGAGGGCCAGGGATTTAGCTCAGCAGTTCGGTGGCCTGCCTTGCAAGCGCAAGGACCCGAGTTCAATCCCCGGTACCAAAAAAAAAACAAAAAAAACAAAAAGGGAGTTGGGCCAGGGATTTAGCTCTTTAGCTCAGTGCTTCTGCCACCTGCCTCACAAACGCAAGTTCCTGAGTTCGATCCCCAGAACCAATAAATAAATAAATGAGGGAGCAGGAAGGATTCGGGCTCACAGCCCTTGTGTGTTGGGGTGCGTGTCCCTCAGCCAATTCACTGGCATCGCAATTCCCATCAGACCGGATAACTTGGCGACACTGCAGACAGACCGCAAGTCCTCCCTCGGGGAACCCAAAAAATCAACACCCCAGGTCCTCCTCGGGACGACGCTCCAGGCCGAGGAAAGGGGGACCCGAGTCCCAGACTCCCAGGTTCAACCCGAGACTGAGTAGAAAAGACCCGAAAGCTGTCCTGGGGTGGAAGTAGGAGCCCTGGAGCCCCACTCCAGCCACCACTACCAAGCCTACACCCCCGGCAGCGTCCACCCTCCACATCTATACATCCCCGCAGCACCCACAACCTGACGCCGTCTGCACACCCCGGCCGTGTCTACACAACTTGACGTGGTCCGCACACCCCGGCCGCGTGCACATAGCCCTAGGGCTCCGCGCAGGGACTCGCCTGATCCGGAGGGGTCGCCCAGCCCCGCGGACGAGCCGA